AGAAAATGGACTTCGTTGTTGGGCAATACAGCAATATAGAAGAGGTGAAATTGCCAGGGCTGAGTATATCAGATGTCTAGCATGTATGCATGCCCTGTAAATAATATTCAAAACTTTTTTATTTTTAAAAATTTTATTAATAACTTTTAAACTGTGACCCATTTTTAATGTACATAGAAGTTATTATTAGTATCTTTGCAGGGATTTAACTGTACATAATGTTATTTTTAAATAGTTAGGTATTCACTTAATAATTTTTATAAGGATTAACCAACCTTAATTCAGTAAGGTTGGTGTACTCCAACTATTGGAGGAAGATATAGAGGAAAGAAGACATAGGCGGCAAGACATAGATTCACGATTGACTGAACAGTGAACATCGCCCCGTGAACGCATTGCAACTCAAGATCAACAATGGAATTTCCAGCTGATTTATCCAAGTTGCTTAATGGCATAGAGCTAGAGAGGAAGAAATTGACATGGGATTTGAAAGTCAATGCCAACACAGTCACAGTCAAACTGACATGGAATCACATTGAGGAACCCGCTGCAAAGAAAGGGACACAACCCAACACGGCCCTGAAAAAGAAGAGACTTTCACCCTCCACCAGGAAAAGAAATGCTCAGCGCCTTGCCCAGTGGAAGGAGAAACGTAACTCAACTGCTGTAAGCTCCTCTGTAGCCAGTACTGCAACAACAACCATAGCAATGGTAGACTCCGCTATACAAGCAACAGCACCAGAAGCACCAGTTATCACCATAAGAAAGTTCGACCAACCAGGACACAATTTACGCAATGTGAAGAAGATATTCAAGGTGTTTATGACATTACACCAACGAAGTACAAGAAGAACCTCAGTAAAGAAAGCGTGAACCTAATAGACAGTCCGTATATACCAGACAAGAAATGTATTCAAATACGGTACAGTGATGGTACAACTCAATGCTCAGTTCCCTTTGACGTAGATGACCCAATCTTCACACGTAGATTTCCTCCAGACAACGACCACACACTTATTGGAAAGCGTCCGCCTACTCCAAATGTAGAACAAGAACATCGACAGCAACCCAGGACAAAAATGAAAGCTATACGACAGATAGCTGAAGAATATGATATAAAGAAATAAAAAGAAACTATGTACATAGTGCGCAAAACCTAACCAGGTAGACGCACAATAAACCCACTAAAACCAACCATAGGCGGCAAGAACAGATTTGTAATTGTATTGGTTACCCCGTTTTTACAGATTTTATTCTGTGATTCTAAGTATTATTATTCAACAAGACAATTAAACATATATGAAAATTGAAAATGAAAAAGTCATAAATGGAATTTTGGCATGTACGTTTAGTGTGACATTTACTTCCACACGGAACCATTGCTTTCCTGCATTTTTTTTTCTTTTTTTGCGGCTGCATGATACAAATTGAAAGCTTTTCTCCTTTATATATTGCCTGAATCTGGGCGTTTCTGTTGAATTTCCTTTGTTATTGTTGAATAAAAATGACTTTATCCTGCTGACTTTTCATCTGCGAGCAGAACAGTTGATTTTTTTCTAACATTTTAGCTAAGAATTTGGTGAAATTTTCTTCCCAAGTCACCATAGTGTACGACAAATTGATAATGACCATGTATAATTGTGGTCAATATAATTTGTTTGTGAGTAAAATTCACTTGGTCATTCGTCGTCACTTTATTTAATTAATTAATCGTTAATAATTACGACCATTTTACTCAAAAACTAAAAGAAATCATTATCAAAATCTCATATTTTTTTTAGATCGAAGGGTCATACCTAAAAAAATAATATTATTATAGATTTCTATATTCATCGTTTTGGTAAACCGGACCATACGCATATGGTCCGGAACATACACACAAGGGAATCTGATGGCAAAATCATTTTTAGAACATGTTTTATCATTTTTTAAACCAGTGTTTAGTGCTTTGATTTTAAAGAAGATGTTTTTTAAATATATTGCAAATAGGTTTTAAATATATTTTAAAGAAGGGGGGAAGGGCAAGGGGTATAACTGTTATGCTGTTCTGAGCCAATTTAATTCTGTGTTATGTTATTCTGAAAATATATTTTCTGTGTCACATACTATGTTTATGGTGTAATGACAATACAGATTTGAATTTGAATTTGTTATCTGTAATTGACAATTCTATGTAGCTGTTATAGAACTATCATTTTTTTTGTTATCTGTTATTGTGAGAATGTATTTGCTGTTAACTGTTACTGTACCCCCCCTCTTTAACTTGAATATGTCTTTATTATTTTATGAGGAATTAATGCAAAAAAAAATCATTCAGTTATTTAATCTACTTAGTCTATGTTTCATATATTTTACAATTTACCTGTGTTTACCTGTAAAATTGGCGCAAACTTTGAAGTATGGTTTGATTTTATTTTGGCCCAAATAAAGTATGGTTTGTAGCGCAAATGAATTACCAATTGGCGCAAAAGCAAGACACCAGGACAAACAGGGTGATTTGCCTTAGATCCCACCAATAAAAACCAGAAGTTGCACACCGTGTTGTGTTAAGTATATCACCCTGACATCCGACTTATTTAGTAGAATGGCTGACATGGTATAATTATCGTGTTGTATATATAAGATATTAAAATCATGTTTAAGATGCAGAAGTTTTGAATTAATTTCTTAAGGTTAATTATCAGACTTGAGTGGGGGTAAAATAACTGCATGTATAGAGTTTGGGTATAATTGTATGCTCACTTTTGCATATTCAGATTTCAAAATATCAGCAAATAGGAAGCTGGTATCTGAAAAAAATCTGAAAAGTACTCACACATTACAACTCATCACTGTCAAGCTGGTGACCAAGTATGAAGTCTTTCCACTCATTCATATTAAAGAAGTGTTTGAGGAAACAAATTTTGAAGTTCATTTTTCATATTGAAAATTTTCAAATTATCGGCAAACAGGAAGTTGGTATTTGAAAAATCTGAAAAGTGCTCAAACATAACAACTCATCACTGTAAGGTGGTGGCCAAGTATGAAGTCATTTAGCTCATTTATATTAAAGAAGTGTTTGACGAAAAATTTTAAAGTTCATTTAGCATATTGAAAATTCTTCAAAGTATCACCAAACAGGAAGTTGGTATTTGGAAAATCTTAAAAGTGCTCAAACATAACAACTGAAACAAACAAAAACTGTATTGGATATAAATATAGAGTATCAATTGGGAAAAAGGTTACTTTGCACAGTAGATCAACTGGGATAAACCCTTAAATGACCCCCATCATGACTTTGATTGAGAAGGGAATAGAGTCCATCCATAATATTCATTTAACAAATCTGTTGTGTGTTTTATGACTATGTGTGTTTCAATGCATGTATAGAAGTTTGGCCAAGTCACAAAATATATAGAAAGACATCAGATTTTTTTCTCTTTTAATCACTTTACCATCTCTAAATCCGATCATAAAAACTTGCATACATTCCACAATATAAAAAATCATATAGAAAATCATGCATACTTTGCAGCATATAAATGTTAAAAAAAGTGTTTAAATGTAAATAATAAAATGTGTTGTAAAGCTTGATGTAACCAAAAGTCTACAGACAACATTAACAACATCATGGCCATAATAAGAATGCAAATTTTTACCAGTCAGTCCTATAAAAAAATCACAGAACAATGCTTGCATGCATACCTTGCATTATATAAATATAACAAAATATCACAAAAACAAATATTGTTAGCTGAAAACAATCAATTAACAAAGTTAACAGTTTATATATAAAATGTATCAAGAGTGGACACAGCGATATGTCTTGCCTGTATAAGTGTTCATACATGTATTTCAATACTTTTAAGTATTACATTATCATTTCAATTACATGTACCTGTGTAGAAGTGGTCAAGGTGAGATTAAATCTTTTAGGCAGACATGTAGGCTTTGCAATCATTCCAAATTTAGTTAACCTAAAACTTTAAGTATCATTGAACAAAAAAACCTTAATTTTTCCCAATAAAGCATAAAATATGGTCAAGGCAAGATGAAACCTGTAAGACAGACAACTTACAAATATTCAATAGATATAATTGATTTATCACTTAAAGTATCTGTGAAACTGGTTTAACTGACCCTGAATCCCTCACCTGTAATGTTTTGCTGAAATCTTTCATCACTGATTAATTTGGTTTTTTAATGTATACTGTGTCCTTAAATAGGCTATTTTAACTATCATGTTTTTTTCAAAAGACAAAAAAAAATCATTTAAACCTTATGTTTTATTTAAGCCATAGTAGCTATGTTTCATGACGTACAACATTAACATTAACTTATTAAATACTAAATACCCTGAAACTCATTCAGGCTAGGCTGAAATTGATCCAGCTGTTTTAAAGGAGATTTTTTTTAATGTTACCAAACATTATGAACAAAATGTGAAAAAAAATGTCTTAAAAGGGTAATACATGTATCTCCTTAAGGGGTCAATTGACAAAAAAAAACAGATCAAATAGGGAAAAAAAATTCTGAACCATAAAAATGAGGTCAAGGTCAGACAATTACTGCTAAACAAACATGTAGACCTTCAAAACCATTCCATTAACCAGATATAATATGATATAATGACTTCTTCGTATCTCAAAACTAGACTAAACCACAAAATATTAACTTCTATCAGTTAAACATGAAAATGAGGTCATGGTCAACACTATAGTAGAACATGCAGTACACCTTACAATAATTCCATATACTGTACTAAATATATGGACTTGGCCAATGCAAATTAACTAGTTCACTGATCCATGAAATGAGGTACTGTAAATTCAGAAATTATTGCGTGCATTTATTATTGCGATTTTGGCATTTTAGACTAAAATGCGATTTAAATTTTTGCGATATTGAGAAAAATCTTGTTTAATTCATATAAAAAATTTCAAAATGCGAGTTTAAATTTTTGCGATTATAACCCTGTCGCATTTTTCGCAATAATAAAAACATCGCAATAATTTCTGAATTTACAGTAATGTGAAAACTGTCTTTACAGGCACAAGGATTTTCCAAGAAACCATTAAGTTACTGCTTTGAGTGCTACTAGTGCTGTTCACCTCCCTATCAAGTCTTGCAGGTTCCTGAAAGAACAGATTTAAAATATTGTTATGTACAATATGAATGACCCTTCTGCTATAAAAGGAGTATGGTCGCGAAGGCCTTAATTTAGCTCATAAAACAAAAATAACTTTGTAATTTCATATGTAACAACAATTATAATTCACAATCTGAAATATGCAAATCAAGATATTATTAACCTTTTTCTGTCTCAAGGTTGGTACCCTGCTTTCCTGAACTGGAATTATTCATGAATATTACAGAATAATTCTAGAACATTCATGAATAATATTCATGAATATTCATGAATATTCATGAATATTCAAGGTTACAATTCATGAATATTCATGAATATTCATGAATGTTAAATGGCACCTTGAATATACATGAATATTGTATGAACTGAATAACCAAGAATTAACATGAATATTTATCTACAGAATATTCTTGAATGTGAAAAAGGATGTCCATGAGTATTGATAGTGGAATACTGACTAAGGATAACCATTGCTGTGAAATAAGATGTCCATGAATATTGAATGGTTGAATATTCTAGAATAACCATGAATGTGAAGTAATTTTCCATTAATATTTAAGAACAACCATGAATGTGAATAACCATGAATGTGAAATATCCTTGAATATTCTAGAATAACCATGAATGCGAAATAGATGTTCTTGAATATTGAATGTAGAAATAAATTTAGAATTCCATGAATACAAACATGAGGGGCAGAGCCGCAGAAGGTCTTTCTCGAGCTTTTATTTTTGCAGGAATTCAGGATTTGACTCTTAAAATGCAGTTCTAAATATATTTTGCTATTTTTGCATTCTTGATATAAAATATTTAAAATATTAAATGACATTTTAATTAAGAAAATCACTTTAATGCCCCTGGTGACGGTGACTGACCCTTGCGAGAATGGGTCAGGATATCACAAGATATCCCCAGCAGGATAATCTTGGGAAAAATCCCAGGGCAATCTTGAGATAATCCTTATCCTGAGATAGGGTTAAACATGGGATGGTATTGGAACATGGATATTCCAGGGATATCCAGAGACCATCCAGACCATAAATATCATCATGATCATAGTAAAGAATCTTGTGATAATCCTGTGCTTAGGATTCATCAGGTCCTGGTCTCAGGAAATTATCCTGATGTCAGGATTTACAGATTTGCTTGCATTAAGTTGGCCCTGGGATAATTCTTGGATAATCCTGAGAATGTCCTTAGTTCAGGACCAATAAAATGAATTAATGTCTTGCATGTATTCTATAAGGAATTAAAAAATTTGAGTAAAATCTATTTTTAATGCTCAAATTTGTTCTTTTGCAAATATTTTCTTTTATTAGTTTAAATGCATATTCCTCATTATAAGGTAGATGAATATTGCCCTTGTTGTATCAAATCTGTCACGTATATATAAACATTGCGGCATGAATTACATTGTATTGGCCATGTTTAATATCTTATTTCAATGGCTGTCAAGTTCCCATTTAAAAAAAATGTACTTGTATTTAATGTCAGATCCTTAAACTTCCATCAAAATTATAGATACTAGTACTACTAGCAAACTTGTTTGCCATTTTTAATGGCTGCTTATATTGTTTTTATTACCCATTAATATGGTACTCACCCCCACCCCTCCTCCCCATATGTTCACTAACACCTTCAAGCATTTCATTGTCTTAATTGTAATTAGATATGCAGTTTTCACCATGGCTTAATGATGCTCGCTGTTCAGTTTCAAATATTATAATAATAAAAATGTGTGTCAGATATAAAGGATACATGTGAAGTTCTCCTCCTTTCTGTAATTAAATTTGCTGTCTCTGTACTTCCAACTAGTATTGCTGAGTAAAGGTAACTGGAATCTGCATGCAATCCGTTTACTTTCAAAATTGGCAGCTCCATTTAATCATTTAATCCCCTAAAAGTATCAAAAAAATCCACAAAGAATCAATTGTTCTAGACATTTTGAAGCAATAAATTCAATAGAAATATTATTGCATGTTTATACAGTATACATTGGAAGCCATTTGGAATCAAATTAATTACCCTCCCTCTTTTTTTATCCCCTGAAGATAAAAAACTAGCGACTTATTATTTTCACCAAATAACCATTCACACAATTCAATTAAATTTTTACATATCTACCAGTTATGCCTGTTATGTGACAACAAGATTATTCAATGTTGTTAAAAATAAATATATTTTTCAGTTTATGCAGGAACATATATATTAGATATACTGTTCCCAGGTTTATGCTTTCAGATTTTCTGATGTTGATTTGCTAAAAAAAAAACCCATAAAAAAATCATAGTTCCTCAATAAATTATATTTTATAATCTCATTATATTCACATGTGAAATTAAATTTTTAATGCACTTATCTGAAAACATCTTCTATTTTGCTACAGCGTAATCACATTTTTATGACGTTTTTATTGAGTACGCTAACGTCGAGGTGACAATCTCGCCCCATATTATATCGGCCAGAAGTAGATCCGTCCCCGTAACGGTATTATAAAAATAAATCAAGGGTGTCGTATAAAAGTATTTATTACTGGCCAGTTTTTAAAAATAAGAAAAAAAAAAAACTTTAATTTAATCGGCACAGGGTGCATGCGGATGAACTAGTGGCCGCATTATCTAGGAATGTATTTTCTAGGGTCGGACTGTTCAGTACAATTACTTAAAACCACGTGGTCATGACTTGTTTACATAAGTTGAGAACCAAGGTTTTACGATGTCGATCGTTGGCCTGTCATTCATCTGATAATTTTTCTATGTTATTTAAATGCCGGACAACAGGTAGAAAATCAGAAACGATCCAGCTTGTCTGGCAAAACAGCCGTTGGCGTTTCTCGGGCGCCCTGTCGTTTTTATCGCGAAAATCTCGGCATTTTTTAGACTGACTTTGAAATACTGTCAAACTGAAATTCGTAATTCTTCCATCAACAGGAAGTTCAGCTAGCTGTGTAAACTGTCAAATTAAGTGACCCATTAAGTGCAGGGCTTCACCTGACAGCTTTGGTGTCAAACACATTGTTAGTTAACACTTTATGTCATAAATAATTTGTGTATTTCAAAAATGTTTCAGTTACTTCCCCTTTTTTATCACCTTTACACAATATATTCCTTAAATTTATTGTTTTTTTTTCTAAAAAAAAATAAAAATAAAACAAATTGAATGAAAATGCATATCAGAATATTACTTTTAATTATTTTTAACCTGAAAACACTTCAAATATAAATATTTTGAAAATTATTTTTTTCATCTTTACTTCCATTAATTGATCTATCAAGTGCATTCAAATAATAATTCAAATTTGTCATTGATAGAGGACAACTTTTATTTTTAGAAGCAATAAGTGGGAGAGAGGCATTAAAAAAAGGGCATCCAATTTTCCAAAGCAGTAGTTTTAAGTTGGGTCATTCAAAATATCAAACAAAAGGGCATGATGTCACATGAAATATTCATGATTTTTTTCATCTAATTATTGAACATATTTCCTCAGCCAAAAATAGTCCAAATAAACAACGAAATCCTAGAACAAATTACATTTTTCATCGGTATTATTAATGCAGTTGGTCACTCATAATTCTGAGTCATTATCATGCAGCTTTATTCATGCTTATTCATGTTTGTCACACAATCGAGAAATATTTTAATTCCAAATTTCATTCATCATTATTCATCCTTATTCATGTTATATGACTATTAAAAAAACTCTAAGTCCAAACATTCAAGTTTATTCATGTTTATTCATGTCCCAAAAAAAGGTTTCTTTTGTCCCCAAATTAGTTTTAGAAAGAAAAAACTTCATTATAGTAATCTTTAGGCATTTTAACAATTCTTTTTGGTTGTCTTCATACAGTTATTAAGAATTCATGTATATTCCAGTTTATTCATGCTTCTTATTCATGAATAATTTTGACACTGGAATAGAACCCATGAATAAAACTGGAATATTCATGAATATTCATGACTATTCTTCCTAATTCATGAATATATGAATATCATGAAAGCAGGGTAATAGGCTCTGAACAGCCTCTGAAGCTCACCTAAATCTACTATGGTTGGAATTATGCATATCAAGCCAAAAAGTGCATTTTACGCATGCAGGGCTACATTCTGTTTTTAGCCATGGTGGCCAATGTTTTTTAAGTAACAGTTAAATCACAAACTTTATACTAGATACCCTAGGGATCATGCAGCTGAAGATTGGTTGAGATTGGTTCTGTAGTTTCAGAGAAGATCTTTAAAATGGTTTACACCAAATGGAGGGACAAATGACGATTTTTTTGTATGGCTTTAGGGACAATGTGAGAGACCTTAATGAAAAAAGAACTATAAAACTGTACAATAATCTTACTTTCAAGACATTATTATCATGAATACAAGATGCAACAAATTGTGTGAACTTAAAAGAAAAAGAAAACTGGATATTCAACTCATCCAAGTCCTCATTTACCAGAGATAAAAAAACAAATTAACAGAAATTTAATACTTACTAGTTTCCTTTTTTTAACTTTTTCACGTAATTTATCAATCATCGCAATCATCTTTTCCTCTGAAAAAAATTAACAAATAAAAGGCTTTCACAGACATCAAACAGATTTTTTTACAATTATTTTTATAATGCAAGTTTTTCTACATTTCAAGGATCATTAAACTCCTCAAACATGTCAAACAAATACAAAAGTGGAAAATTGTTAAAATTTAATTTGTCCTCAGTTTGTCACATTAGTTACAACAGATCAATATTTAAAAAGCTTTGGTTGAACTGTTTGTGAGTATGATTAAGAAATAATTCATGCAAGCCATAGATTTGTTGTATAATTTACACATGGCCTGGCCGGCCAGGCCATGTGTAAATAGGACAAAAATGTATCTTAAATACTGAAGCGACGAAAAAGTGGCTGTTATATTTGAAGTATCACCCCATTGTCAAATAAAAGTGTGTTATTCTGACTGTATTTGTATCAAAGAGATACATTTTCAGCAGGCAAAGAAGGCAAATCAGTTATTTAATAGCAACAGAAGCAATGATTATTATTAACTGTTTGTATTATTTTTTTAATGTAAAAATGAATGTTCTCAGAAACTTACCGTTGGCAACTAATCCTGTCTCAGTCAATTTTGTCCCTTACGTCGATGAAATTTCTAATTTCCAGTCAAATACTTAAGCAATGCCATTGTATATATATATATGTAATCTGGCAAGGGTTAGGTTTTTGGTAAGAATAAATCAGTCATTTAACCATTTCTTTTCGTAGCAATGACGTCTGCAATTTTGTTTTGAAAACAATGGAAATAGAACAATGATAAAATTTTAAAAATCCCAGAGAGGACATGATTTTTTCCGATAATTTTCATTACACATAGGATAAAATATATTGATATTTAATAGTGGATGAACTATAAATATTGGAACTTTTGATGATAAAAGAACCTTAACAAAATATGTTACATTAAGTTTGGATTTTTATGGGAGTAAAATGTAACAGCCGAAAATATGCATGTTACTGAGTCTGCGCTAAATATAGATATATTGAGAATTTTATCATGGCTATTTTCACAAAGGGTAATAGAGAGGTCATATTAGAATAATGATGAACTTATGGCATATAATTTGGACAGGACTTGAAATGCTATTTTTTTCATTAACCATAGCTGATCATAGCTTCTGAACATGAAGGGTGAAAATGAAAATCAACAATATATCTATAAAACTTGACCTTCATTTTGTCATTATATAATTAACAACATATCAGATTTAAAAAGTTTTGGTTGAATGGTTCAATGAGTTATTGTTGACACGACTGGAAATGCCATTTTTAAATCTTTCAAAATTTCCTGAACAGTGAAAATGAAAATCATGTATTTTCAACTTTACCTCTGCCACCATTTCATCAAAAGTAACAAAATGTTATAACCTGAAAACCTTTGGTTGAATGGTTCAAATCATACAGACACTAAATTGGTAACTATATAATCTACCTGAGTTGCCATACATCAACAAATTAATAACATGTTCATCATTTATTATCTTTAAATCATATGGCTACTGTAGGTAGTTAATTTGGGAAAACAAACAATATTTTAATTCTGGCCTTTTAAATTGTTTTTTAAAGAAGAACAAGTGTGGACACAGAACAGCATGGATAGTATCCAGCATTCTGAGAGTATTGCATGGCAATACACAGTCCCCTACCAGTTAAAATTTGTTGTCCGGAAAACAAAATTCAAACTTGATGTGTAAAATGTCATGTTAAAACTATAGATACCAAATTTCAAATCAATATGACAATAGTCAAGCATGACTAAAAAAAATGCAGAATTTTAATTGATTAATCGTGTTATTTTTCTAGGTCTAAGGATCATATAACTCTGCAGAGAGAGAGAGATCATCAGATCAGAAAAAAAAATTAAACTTGATCTTTAACTTGTAACGTTAAAACTATAAACCAAATATCAAATGGAAATCTTTAAGTATGACAAAAAAATAGTGGAAATGTATTTCTTGCATGAATTTTCTAAGTCCAAGGACCATAACTCTGCAAAAAATCATCAGACCGGAACACAATTTGCAACAGATCTTTAACTTGTCATGGTTTAACTACAAGCCAAATTTCAAGTCAATATCTTGAAGCATTAAAAAACAAAATATGGAAAACAGATTACTTATGTGAGTTTTCTAAGTCCAAGGGCCATAACTCTGCAAAAAATCATCTGACCGAAACAAAATTAGAACTTGATATGTAACTTGTCATGGTTATACTATATATCAAATATCAAACCAATGTCTTCAAGCATAACAAAAAATAAAAAGTGTGGAAAGCTGATTACGGACTTCGTTGGTAGGGGACTAATAACCTTTTATTTGAGCATGTCTACTAGTTAATTGTACTAACCTTCTGATTTTAAAGTTACTCTTTCATGTCTATTGAATTTATTGTCTACAATAAAAAAATAATAAATGAATAGTCTAATTTCATTTATAAAGCACCTAACTGACACCAATGTTGTCCCTTCTTGCATATAAAGATTAAAGGGGCATTTTATGATGATAGAAAATAAAGGGATTCATGGGACAAAGTGGGACTTAAGTTGCACAAAATACATTAAAATAAGATTCATGTGACAAAAAGTCAGAAACTCAGGCTATTAGTAGTTATAACTAATAATGAAGAATGGCAAAATTTTATAACAATTGGTAAAGGTTCAATTGATAAATATCAAAACATGAAGTTCCTTACTTTTCCCCCTTATATTTTGGATGTGTAAGGCAATTGACAAATTTTTAAAGGTTCTCTGTATATATAACTGATCTAACTGGGAAATCATGCTGTTCAAGCATGGGTTCCTGCATGGTTAGCTGGAATGAGCCAGGGTACCAGATGGACTGCTTCTGTTTACATACAAAAGACAATGTTAAAAATGTATGAAGATGATAGGTTATTTTAGTTCCGGTTAGTCTCTTTTCACAAGCTACTATATCAATTAGCGATGACTTTTTTGACTGGTATATATTAATGCCTGATGAGAAATATTAAGAAGTTTAGACTAAAATTGTTTGCTTAGCAAGAAGTTTTTTTTATTAAAACACGAAAAACTGTTTTCAACATTGTTTTGTGTCATGCTGAAATAATAAATTTTAAATGATTAACCTTTATGCAAACCAGACTGAGCATCTTTATAGAGTACAAAGACCCCCCTTGGGCCTGAGTAAAAAATACAAATTATCAATACACAGGGCTTTAATTAGTCTTATATAGGAATCACTGAAGCATGACTGGAGTGGGTCCCCTCTTATGGCAGTTTCTGGCTATATATGGGACCAATTTTTTTTTAATATGAGCCAATGAGTACATGCATGCATGACGTAGTCTTACCTTGTGGTTCCCAGGTCTCCCCTGTTTTAAGTAGCATGAGGATGACATTTCCTTCTAAACTGTTGAAAAAATCATTATCTATTTCGACTCCATCTGCGTCCAGGACTAGACTGAATGTCGTTGAATCTCCTTCCATAAACTTTTCCTGGCCTAAATAAAAGGAAATTGAACAAAAATATTATTCTTTTCAAATCTGAATGAATAATCATATATTGCTTGCCCATTACCTGACCTAGTATCCACCATCATGACCATATATCGATCTTCCCTGATTCATTGAAATTCTGACTAACTGATGAACCATAGGAAATGGGGTGAAAGCGCTAACAGGAACAATGTTGGATTTATAATGTGATTTTTTATGTGTTATTTATTTTCAAACTATATTTTCTGTACCAAGGACTTTTTATTTATCAATATATCATACTATATATATGTTAGCGGCAATAAGTGAAATTAGGCATGATAGTTAAGCTTAAATCCTAGGCAATAAGTTAATGCCTAAGCACTAAAGATTTTTTTAAAGTTAATCTATATACAATTATAGCTGTTGTATGAGGTCGATACACTTAGGATATATTGACCTGAAAGAAGTATATTGACTGAAGACGAAGTCCAAGATCAAATAATCCTGTATTGACTGAATACAAGGCTTTACATTTTTTTGTAATTGTTATAAATTAATAACCAGCCATATTTGTATCAAAATCATCAGTGCACTATATTCCCTTTTTCGATTGTTTTTTTTTTCATTTTACAGATAGCATATTGTCTCTCATCATATTTGTTCTGATTTCAAATTTTTATGTTTTTCAGTACATTTTGTATACATTTTTAATTTTTTTTTTAAAGTTAATCGATCATATATTATATACACCCTTTTCAAACAAATAAGAGCAACTAAAATGTCAGTTACCTGAAATATCAAAATCATTACAAAAATAATTCATTTATATAAGAACTCATTGAACAAAGTGGACACAGATGAGTGTAAATAGTATTAAAGCATAAAACTGTGAGTCAACTCACTAAGGATAGCCCCCATCTCATGAAGGCATATTTACTACACTACTGTTATTGCTTCGGCCGAAAGGTCGAAGATTTAATCTCGGGCGATATCCACGCCATCTTGAAATTATAATGTATCACACATGCATTCTGATTGGTTGCCTTATGATGGGGTCGAGATACAGCAACAGCCATTGGCTAGATTTAGAAAAATAATTGTGGACTTTCCCGTGCGATGAAAAAATAATATGCGTATTTATAGTCCCGATCAACAGTTGGTAATTCGTGTTCGCATTTAAATGATTATGATGCATATATATTAATTGCTAAAATTCAATATTGAAATAAATATTGTTAATACACGACCCTTTGCTTTGTAAATCAGCAATATACACGATTTATTTCAAGATTCAATGTTTACAAAACGCACCACTTGTATTTGTATCTGTATGAGATATAAATAGAATAAACATATATATATGGAACGCAAAAATATCAAGATTTTTTATGGAACGCCTAATAAGCGTATAGGTATTACTTTTACCTGATAAATTCGAATTTTGCGAATACAGATGTCATTAGTCCAAATGAATATGGGTGAGATATAAATAGAAGTGTTATATATACTGATACGTTTTCTCGGGTCTGATAAATATTGAATGAATTTCATATGCAACCTTTATGTAATTGTTTTATTCATGTTTAACCCATATCAATTTAGACTGGTATTTTTTTTAAATTTAAATTTGTTCGGGTGCTCTGTCATATTGATAAAGATAATCTTAAAAGTATTCCCCCTAAAAGATAACAATTATAGATTATACGCATTAAATGACTCTGAAATGAAATTTATAAATAATTAAAATATTCTCTGTAATAATATATAAACATAAAAACACACTAGAACATGTAATTTATGATACTACGAAGCATTCACTACCTTTTTAGAAAGGTAAAACTTGTTACATTTAAGCTTGATACAGCTCTGAATTTGGATTGTGATTAAATATTTAACACAGCATAGGTTTCTGACACAGAATGAATGAACTACTATTAATTATTTTAAATAAAAGGAATGCACATACATTTACATATTGCTATATTAAACTGGAAGAACATTTAAAATTAATAGTAATTAGAGTTATCTCTCTTTGCATATTTTAAGTCAGTGTGTAAAAAAAAAATAAATACATCTATATTAAGTAAGTTAATTATCTCCCTTTAAATATTTAAAACCAACAATATCTTCATTTATGCACATTCTCTGGTCTGAGTGATGTACTGGAACTATGTAAAATATAATAAATATTGCTACAGTCATTTAGGAGGAGTTGTGCTTACAAGACCTAATGCCACATTTGTGATATTTATTAAACTAAGTAATTTCAATTATCTCCCTTGAAAAAAAATCTTACCAGAAATATCCTCCTTCATGTACATGTATCTACAGGTTGTGTACAACAACAGTGTAAAGTTTCATCAATATTAATTAATCTGTTTAGGAGAAGTTGCCCTTACTTACAATACTTGCCATTTATTGCTATATTTAACTAAGTAAATTTTAATATTCTTATATTCTCCTTCAAATATTTTCCTTCATGCACATCCTCAGGTTGTGTACTACAACTGTGTGAAGTTTTACCAATATTGGTCCATCAATTAATGAGGAGTTGCGTTTACCAGACATATGGACAGACAGTTGGACGGAAAGACGGACAGGGTGATTCCTATATACCCCCCCCCCCCCCCCCCCCCAAAAAAAAAAACTTTGTTTTGAAATTGTGTTAAGATCATATTTGTTCCCAGATAGAGTGGAGCTACATGTATGGCACAGATTATTGCAGTTTCCGTTTTTTCTTGCATTTTCAGCTGTTATTTTAGCAGGATTTACATACATATCAAAAATATGTGTGACCACCAGTTAATGTAAATGCTCAGGTGTGTTCCAGGAATGCCTGCATTTGATAAATAATCTATTCCTGGAATGCATACAAAATTTATTGAATAGATATTGTTCATGTTGTTTTGATGGTGAATTAGAGTGTTAATTTAGGAACACAGGGACAATCAGAAAGATTAGAAGATATAGAAATAAGGGCAAAAATAATTTTGTATTTAAAATTTTGCTGAGAAAAAAATATTTGAAACGGTATGGAACATTATTATAAAAAAATTAAAAATCTTAATAAAAAAACAGTACTAACTAAAAATCTTAAACTTGTATATATATACTGGTAAAAATATTTTTGTGCCTAAAAATATTAAGTAAAAATTTAACTGAAATGAAATAGAATATAACAATAAGAAATACTTTAGAATCTATAAAAAGTAATGAATAAAATATGTTTTGATCTATTACTTCTTTTATAAAATAAATAAATAAAATAATTGACCAAAAAATGAAACAATAAAAATAAATACGCATTTAATAATCAACTTTTATAATCAACGGCTGAATCCTGAAAATGCAAGATAATTCTGTTTTGAATACGGAAAATACCAACATCTGTTAAAATTAATTCATATCAATATTTGGAATCTAATTTTTAAATTATTGAACATCATGATTTTTTCGGACATGTAATATGTATTTGTAACAAGCTAGACCTATCAATGTCTGGACCTGCGTCGTGCTGCAACAGTTATTTATAGTTGCTCAGGAAAATGCGACGAAATAAATGTTACAGGTAGATATATGGAACTATGGAAAATTATTCCCATAAAAGTTAAAGAATCAAAATTTCCTGAAAATATGCAAGGCAACATATGGTGTTCTTGCTACATACCAAGTTTTTTGAAATTCTGTTGGGTAGTTTAAGAGGAGTTGTGATGACAAGCATGAGTGATACATGATGATTTACAGTTAATTTCGAAGTTCAAAGGGGCAAACCTCCAATAGAAAATAAGGAATCAAAATTTCCTGATAACATGCACAACTACATATAATGTTTTTGCTACATACCAAGTTTCAGGAATTTCTGTTGAGTAGTTTAAGAGGAGTTGTGATGACAAGCTGATGCATGATGATTTTCAGTAAATTTCTATTTTAGTTCAAAGGGGCAAACCTTCAATAAAAATTTCCTGATAATATGCACAACTACATATGATTTTCTTACTGCACACCAAGTTTCAGGAATTTCTGTTGAGTAGTTTCAGAGGAGTTGTGATGACAGTTAAGCTGATACATGATGATTTTCAGAAAATTTCTATGTTCAAAGAGGACTTAATGTTGAGTAAGTTCAGAGGAGTTGCCATGACAAGCTGATATCTTATTGTGTTACGGAATGACAGACAGACGGACGGAGAGACCCGATTCCTAGAACTGCTTCAGCCTTTGGGGATGCAGTTGATAAACAAGAGGCTCTCAAGAGCCTGAATCGCTCACGTGGTAAACAATGCCCTATAAACTAAATTAATATAAAAATGTTTGTTGTAAATTGAGCTAAAAACATATTAATAAGTTTAATCATGGTTATACAACATTCTCATCATCAGCATTCAACTAAGGATATCATGTTTACTTTAAAAACCAAATATTGTTGAAATCCGAGCAAGTGTAAAAATTGGCCCGAAAATGGCAGCCATTTCAAAAATGGCCACCCAGAACAAATTTTCGTCATCACCATCCAACTTAGGATACCATGTTTACTGTATAAACCAAATATCATTGAAATCCCAGCAAGTGTAAAATTGGCGGAAAATGGCAGCCATTTTTAACATTTTAAAAATGGCTGCCCAAAACAAATTTTCACCATCACCATTCAACTCAGGATACCATGTTTACCTAAAAAGTAGCTTTCATCTTCATTTTCTTCTATAATTCAGGAAAAAACAGCAAAAACAGCATTTTGACCCCTATGTTCTATTTTTAGTAACGGCGGACATGTTTTTCAACCAATCAAAAATCCAAGCACAAACTTTTTGCAGGATACCCTAAGGTACAATCTCACCAAGTTTCATTTGATTTTGAATAGTCGTTTCAGAGAAGAAGATTTTTGAAATAATAACATAAAAAAAAGCCAAAAATGTCAAATATGGGCATTAACTCAAACATCAGTTGACAGATTTTCACAAAAATCTGCACACAGGTAGCTCTTATCATGCTTAACACTTTCAACCTGCCAGAATTTGGCTAAACCTAATGATTTTTGACATATTTGTGAAAAACTGTTGTTTGACCCCTATGTTCTATTTTTAGTAACGGCGGCCATGTTTTTTGACCGATCAAAAATCGAAGCAGTCATTTTGTGCAGGATACCCTAAGGAACAATCATGCTAAGTTTCATTCAAATCCATTCAGTAGTTTCAGAGGAGAAGATGTTTGAAAAATTGTTAACGACGACGATGACGGACGTCAAGTGATGAGAAAAGCTCACATTTCCTTTTAGGAAAGGTGAGCTAAAAATTAAAATCTCAAGTTCCCTTATTACCTGAAATGATGTTTAGCAATAGGTTAAAACACTCCATCATATTTCAGGCATTAAGCTTACTGCCTGGATATTCAGGCAATAACTAAATATCTAGGCGTTAGCCTATTGCATAGGATTTGAGCTTAACGCCTAATTTCACTTTAATGGCCACTATATACAAATTAACAGTCCTCTGACCTAGAACTAGGGTCAGAAACAAAGGGTCACATGCATGCAAATCAACTAGTTGTGATACATATAGATTATAACATGGCATTTTTCATATCAGACCCCTTATCAGCCCAAGGTCATGATATCAGCCCGAGAGCCTTCAGGCTCGAGGGATGATTTTGACCATGGGCTGATAAGGGGTCTGATATAAAAAATGACATGTTATGATCTTTTTATCATATACTTCAATATTGTTGTTTCGAATGTCCTAGTTAAATGTTTGATAATATGAAATTCTGTTAATGTTAATTTTTTGGTGGGAAAATGAAAAAAAAATTAACAAAATTTTGAAAGAAAAACAAATTTTGAAGAAAAAGTATATTTGAAAAAAAAAAATGAAAAAAAAATTGAAAAAACGAATTTTGAACAAAATTTTGAAAGAAAATCAAATTTTGAAGAAAAAAGAATATTTGAAAAAAAATCAAGAGAAAAAAATTGAAAATGTTCTTTTTTGTTAAAAAACAAAAATGGAAAAAATGGATTTAGCGTGTGATATAAACCGGAAACAGTTGATATAAACCAGAAGCAGTTGATAACAAAAGTCATATCACACGGCAAAGACAATTCTTAAGATTTTATTGATAAATATCTATGCAAACAGTGTTATCAAGGGGTAAAATTATACCGTTATTTTCTATAAGAATATGATAAATGTATTTATTTATTTTAAATTTTGTGAAAACTCTGGAGTGTGATTCATTAGAGATTCCAAATCATTGGATGTAAATCATGTAATATTAAACTGGTAAAACATTGCTTTGAAACATCAATTTACTTTGACCATGTTTTCCAAGATTTAAGTTCCACAAGTAAGTGAGACACAGTACTATGACAAGGTATATATATATATTATATATGATTTCTAATGTCTGATAATCATACTTACATTTATTTATTAAATCAGGAAACGAATATGCCACAATTCCTTTTCTTATTATTCTGTTATTATCGAAAACCTTTACAGGTAATGACTGTTTACTCTACAATAGATAATTAAATCATGATAAAGATGATTATTAAGAACAAGGGCTATTCCAGAAATTAATATATGGGGTGGTCAGAAGGCACTTTTATTTGACCCACCATACATATATTTTTATTGGATATTTCTTTTAATTGTTCAGGCAATCTTTCTACAAGAACCACCACCTACCAAATTTTAATAGAGTGCCTTCCTTTCCCCCATACAATAACCCTGGAAAAGTCCTTAGGAGAAATGGCTCACCTGTAATTTTGCGCAGATATCTCATTGATAATAATGATTATATAATTTATGATGTTTAAAGTGTTAAAAACTGAGAAAAGGGTCTTTTAAAGGCAGTAACCCCTTAAGGGTTGAATTTAACCATAATAGTATGAAAGATAATAACCAAAACTTTGAAACAATCAGCATATAATTTCATTAAAATCTTAGGGCTGCATTTAAAAGAATCGTTTGTTTCCCCACACCTGACCCAAGATTTCTGTTGGTGGATCGGTGAGGTCAGCTAAGTAATATTCCCCAATCAGGAGCCATAATCGCCCAAACTTGAGTCAATCTCCCAAACTTGAGACAATCTCCCGAACAGGAGATATTCATTTGAACAGGAAGTAGCACATATATGAAATTGTCTCCCGATCTGGAGACTGAAAATAAACAAGAATGTGTCCATACTACACTGATGCACCACTCATACTATCATTTTCTATGTTCAATGAACCATGAAATTGGGATAAAAACTCTACATTAGAAAGATCATATCATGAGAAACAATGTGCAACTTCATCAAAAACTACTTTTGACTTTGACTTTAACCGGACACAGGACAGACGGACGGACAAATAAACGAATGTCCATGCTCCTTTTACTATTGTAGGTGGGGTATTAAAATAGCATAAAATGGCTTGTGAGCATTGAATTAATTTATATATTGCAAAAGGGGAAGAAAGTAATATGTTTCCTTCTTGTAAATCATAAAATAAAGGAATTATTTTTATATTTTCAAAAAAAATAAAATGTGAAATAATTTGTTACAATGCATTTTAATGTCATAAAAATGGGTCAAAGCCTCAAACAGCCGGGTTGTTTTAGTGATGTTTGAATTAGAATCTGAATTGAAAACTGTATGAGGAGATATTAAATTACAAAAAACAATAAACAGCTGCCCTTAGAGCGCATGATACTCCCGTATTGGGCATATAGAAATTGGAAAAGAAGGCATGAATAATTTTCTTAAATTCAAATAGTTAAAGTCCTGTAACTCCAGAACAAGTTAACAAATAAATAATCAAAAATCAATAGGGAGCTTCATAATATAAATCCCAACAATAATTTGAAGTTTCAAGGAAATCAATTTAGGAATACTAGAGTAAAATTAATGTGCAAAATGTGAAAAATTGCCATAATTCAAATGGTTAAAGTCCTATATAATTACTCTGAAACAACATTGCCATTTTTTTCTAATTTGAAAGGGAGCTTCCTCCTATCAATCCTAAGGGGACGACCATTTGATATTCTGGGGGAGGCCAGGAGGATTTGTTTTGGATCGGTTATTTATTTTTGTAAACTAAGAGGACAGATTATCTATTTTCTGCACTATTTAAGCAAGATTTTTCATTTTCATTAAAGCAAGGGACTGATTATTTATTTTCACAACTATATTTATAATATTCGAAAACATACAATTTTTAAGTTATTTGTTTATTATAAATAATTCATGTATAGTCGAGTCATTATGTACCATTTAATCAGAATTAATTATTATCCTCTGCAGAAATGAATCTTCTATATCCCCCAATGCATATTACACAGTATTAAAGTTTGGTAGTAATAAGGCTCTTTTAAAAGTATTGGCAAACATGTTTCGCCGAGCTGAGCGAGGCAAAATTTTTTTGAAGGGTTTTTGAACCGCTGAAGGCCCAAGAAGCTATAGAACAAATGATGCAAAATCATGCCTTCTGGGTGTTCCCCAGACCCTTTCTTAAACTGAAAATGCAAGTTCTGTTTTAATAATTTTATGACAATATTTTGGTCTCAAAGCAAAATCACCTTATAGATTCAGTGTAAGACTTAAGTTTCTAGGAACAAGATCAAAAGACAAATATGCATGATATTAAAAGCAAAAATGTTATTCACATAGTTAAGTCTGTGGCTGCTGTGTTTTTTTAAACTCATGATCAAGTTAATAATAAAATTACTAAATTACAAAATGAATGCAACACTAACAGAATACAGAGGGGCAATCAATGAACAAAAGACAAATAAATAAGAAACATTGATCCCGAAAAATCAGGGGCTACGTCTGAGGGAGAACAGAACTTGCTTCTTGCAAGGCACTCACGGTGAACACAATTTGATATGGAGACAAGCGTTTAGTTTTGAAATTTCCTACACGAGGCATTTGTCTCAATGTAGTTACGGCCCTGATTTAATAAAAGTGAGGTAAGTGTTCCTGAGACAATTAACCTCAAGTTAAATGAAACCAATTTTCTGACATTTCAAGTATATTTAAATAATATTTATACTTTTATTATTAAAAGATATGGGAAGTGTTTCCCAATTTTTTTTTTTGGAAAAAAGATGAATTTATGAAGAATCTGGTGCCATCTCATACTTTCGATTAGACCTGCTGAGTTATTTATTTTCAATACATTGCAAGTCAGGTAATTTATTTTCAAACTACCACAGAACAAACCATTTATTTTTGTGATTATCAAGGCTGAGTTATTTATTTTCAAAATCCTCCTGGCCCCCCCCCCAGAATATCAAATGGTCGTCCCCTAATGTTGTATTATTGTTACGTGAGGAAAGGTTAAAAGGAATTTGAGCTATAGTCCGAAAACTTGAAAATCCCACCTTTTTTTTTAATAAAGTCCCATAAATCCCAAAAGCATAATATGAAATTAAAAAAAACGAAAGGGAGCTTACATTGATAGACATAAACAATTCACATAAGTTTCATGGACATTGGTGAAAGCCTTTTTGAGTTATTGTTCGAATTGTTGAAAATTCCCCCTTTTTTATGAATAAACAAATTATTTTACAAAACGTCAAATCTGAAATTAAAAAAAAACGAAAGGGAGCTTACGTCAATATATATAAACAATTCACTTAAGTTTCATGGAAATTGGTGAAAGCGTTTTTGAGTTATTGTCCGAAGTGTGGATGACGGACGGACAACCGTATACCATAATACGTCCCGTCTTAGACGGTCGTATAAAAATGTGTTCATTGTACACAAATGTTTTATAAAAACAATTCAATTTTTATCAACGCAATTCGGTGAATAAACCGTCTCAGCCTCATGATTATAGATGATGAATTGTATACTACATGGACTCACCAGAATCAGCTGGGACTCACCATTTTCAAAAGTGATGTCAGTCCCAGGACTCACCATAAAAATTTCCTAGTGAGAACCCTGAATGCCCCACTCACACTATAATTTTCTATGATCAGTGGACTGTGAAAATGGGGTCAAAACTCTCATTTGGCATTAAAATTAGAAAGATCATATCATAGGGAACATGTGTACTATTAGTTTCAAGTTGATTGGACTTCAAAAACTACCTTGACCAGAAACTTTAACCTATTTTCTGACCAAAAACTTTAACCTGTAATTTTCTATGTTCAGTGGACCATGAAATTGGGGTCAAAACTCTAATTTGGCATAAAAATTAGAAATATCATATCATATCTTCTGTGGCAAGGAAGGAAAATGTTCAGCAAAATTCATAAAAGTTTTAAACATTTTAAATCACAAAATGAATGCAAGATATATAAATCTAGGTGCTGCCAGGCTTTAAAACTTTTTAGATTGTACAGTTTTCTCTGTATTCAGAGGTAATTTTATGATGTAAACACAGCAATTTTTGACAAAGTGTAAAGATGAACCTTAATATATTAATTTAGTTTATAGGGCATTGTTTACCAGGTGAGCAATTCAGGCTCTTGAGAGCCTCTTAATTGTTTATAATATATATATATCGTCAGAGGACCTGTTTTCGACCGTGCCCTATTTTCGACCAAATTTTATTTCATTCATTTGGATTGCACACCTGTATATAATGATGTGTATTTAAGTTTCTATAGTTAGAACAAAAACAACACTGCATGTTAATCTGATTTAGAAATGTTTAAAGTTGCTTTCAATGTCATAATTATAAATTTTATTTAAATGTAGCTGTTTCGGCCATGTTTTTTTAAGGCCATAAATTGCTTTACTTGTATTTTTGTTCACAAACAATCCGGAAGGGTTACATGAAATACTTTTGGTAATTCTGCTTCTCCAACATCTGATCTTCAGGCCACATGACTTTCTTGGGGTTCTTGGTTGTATTTATTACAAACAATCTTGATGAAATGCACAGGGTTCTTATATAAAATGAGTGTCTGAGGCCACAATTAAAAATATTTCAGTTTGCCCAAACCCGACCCATGATGACTGGGTGTGGGTAGGTAGGTAGGCAAATTCTTTTTTTTTATCAGAATTTGCATGAAAATATTATAACAGTATATCTTTTTTTCCCGTCAAACCTTTGTAGAGACAATCAAAAGCCATGAAAAACTGTCTGCCATTTTCACATGTTTTACTTCTTTACAGGGATGTCACTAGGTTTTGAAGTAGCAGGATTAATAATTAAAGTAGCAGGCAAGGATTGTGGACGTCATAGACGTCCGGTGCGACGAGCTTGCTCGTCGCCTATCACGGCGAAGTTTCTTTTTCTAAAATGGTGCAAAAATCCTGCATTCTGGGGGCTCCTGAACTCTAATTTAGTCCTAATCAAACACCATTTTTTTTAATGATGATAAGGTAAATGAGCAGCAAGATGGTCACATATTTTCTATAAAGTTGATCACATAAATATTATTATCACTATAACAACAAGTAGTTGAAGTTGTTTGAGGAAAATGATGAAGGATGACTCTGTAAGACATGGTGATCATTCAGGAAAAGATTCAAATTTGATCTCATTAGTTGAAAATATTTTTAGTTTAACTGTAGACATGCAATTATTCAAATAATTCGAACCCATAGACATTTTTTTTATTTCTCAGTAAGGATGTACTTTGGTGAAACTAGAAAAATGTAGAATTTAAAATTGATACTATAAGTCAGAAGACTTCAAGAGCATTTAAGTTAAGAAGCAAACTAATGGAAAGAGAAGAAATCTACAATCTGCTTAAAAATTTTGGTATATGACCTTTTATGAGCTATTAATTGAAGTATTACATGTATTATATATGGAATAAAAATGGGGGTCATGGGGCAAAATATTTTATCCTGTATCGTAGGAAAAAACCAGAGTCCAAAGATCTGACAGAAATTCCAAAACCTGACCTAAGTACATCCTTAAATGCATAATCATGCAGGGCTCACACTACTTCAGATTCATAGGGAGAAGTGACTTCTCTTTTTGAAACTGATAGGGAGAAGTGCTCCTTTGCACACTGTGCTACAATGTTTGGTTTTTACTACATATAGTACAAAGGGTCATATGTAAATAATGTTCTTTTTATATTGTTCAATTCATATCTGAGTATACAATTAAAGTAAAAGTTCAAATTCAAAGTTGTTTAAGTTTAGGTTCTTGTGAGAAACTACCAACTAAATATCTAGCACTAAAAAGATTTTTTTTTTTATGACAAAAAGATAAAGAAATTATAATATATAAATCACAATTCAATTAAAAAACTATCTTGTTTATCATGTTTATGAAATTCAGTGTTTCTCATCAAAAGATATACAAAGTTAAGCTGGGCCATATATATTGATATTAGTATTATAGTCCCAGAGTTAATTAAGCAAGTTTAATCAAT